GCACTTTTGCTTTTTTGCGTTATGGAGTCGGCTGACTTTTTTGACGTGGCGCTTACGCCACCCTAAGAAAAACATAGCTCAACTAACAACAATCAACATTAAATGCAGAAATGAAACTTTGAGCTGAAGAGGACGTTTTGAAATCAAACAGCGAAAAAGTAAGAGAATTATCCAAAACAGGTTACCTTTTGTTTATTATTGTGAATGGATTCAGTCTGCCGTACAGAAAAACAGATTGATGGTTTACTTGATGTTTTTTCCTGAAATAGTTAAGCCATTCAAAACATCATCTATATACCTGTTTTTCGCAATAACTGATCCTGAGAAATATCACCAAACCTTCTCGGGAGTTGGCTTTTCAGACGTCAAATCAATAACTTCAGAGTCTCCACCTAATATTCAAAGATTAAAAGCGACACAAGGGGGACAAACTTAAGGAACGCACTAGTTCCGAGAGACCCTAAAACGTCGTCTTCAGTTTCTAAGAACTCGTCACCATCAATGCCGAAATCATGGGTCTCAGCCCACATCGACGCAGTTGCCAGCTCATGTTCCCCATTTGAAACTTTTATCGATGACTAAAAAATCAAAGAATTGTGAACTACTTATTCCGCATCTAGGAAACGCAACTCACTTCTTCTGCAAAAACGTCAGATGAAGATGAGACCTCATCGTGCACCGGTGAGCTGGGAATTGCACATTGTCTTTGAGGACTTGGAGGATCTCTATTTATTTTCATACGAACCACATCTCTCGCAAGAGTACTGCATTCGGATGTGGTGCTAGACGTCTATAAGGAGAAAACTATAAGGAGATATACAGCTCCAAACATCTCGGTTAGAGCACAAAAAACAACCACGAGAGGTATGAACGAACTGAGGGAAATGAAGAAAGAGATGGGAGCTTTTCTCTTTCTGTGCAGCTACTCATTGATGAGCGACAGGCTTCCCGCCACACTTCCGCAGCTGATTTGGTGCAGCTGAAGAGGAATACTTAGGAGTGGCCGTGGTGGAGTGGCAAAAAAAGCGATATACGTATCGCTCACATTGTTTCATTAAAAATCTTGTCTTAGAAATTAGTATGCAGAAAGCATAATCAATCGCGATATTTTGCTACAATTGCAATACTATTCTTCAAGATTGCTGTTCTTTACTAAGTAAGTAGCAAAGAGAATGATCAGATTCACTTACACAGGTCCAACAGCTAAGCTGACGTTGCTTTCCTGGGGAGGATTAGGAGTAACTTCAATGTCATCCTAAACCACTTTTTCACAAAAAAA